CGCCAGTCGTTGATACAGTGCCAGCTAGCTTCCATAAATAATTAATATTTATGCAAAACAATTTTCATTTTTATAATCAACGTATACTACAGCAGTAATACAATCCACAATACTGACAATATTGAGCTTTTCTTTAAGTACTTTATTTCTATATTTATGGCGTCAAAGTCTCAGTGATTATCGGAAACATAAAGTAAACAAAACTTCGACATATCAATTTTGAATGTTATACATTTGTTGGAGGTAAATTTATTTTTACCCACATTAATTTCTTCAAATTTAAATCATAATTCGAAATTTATGTTGAATACATTCCATACATTATATTCTGTCTGTTTTATCGACATTATCAAGTCTACCTGTAATGAAAATGTTTTTAACATTTGAACGCTCGGATCATTCTAAATCATAATGTCAACAGGTTTTATATAAAACATGCATAAGTCTTCTATAAATGCCAAATCAGCCAGCGGGAACGTATGCAAATGAGATTTTAATCAATTTGAATCAATCACGACGCCTTCGTAGACAAATACCACCCATATAGTGTTTATCAACGGTCAATGTGGCCTTTCACCCATCACCACAATTTTCCCGCTCCTTCAAATTGAATTCAAAGTTTTACAATTTAAACGGTCGGTGCCAAATCATAACGGGGTGGGATAATACATGTGATTTTCGAAATGTATTTCTCGAAAGAATAGTTTGAAGAATCTTGAATATATTTGATGGTATCTATGTTCCGTGTAAATTAGCCGTAAATTAGATTAGACCCGTTGCATAACGGGGAAAGACAAAGGCTAATGGGTAACAAATACGAAGACACTACAATGTTTTTGTGTTTTTTTAAATTTGTTTTTGTGCCGGGCGACAGTTCCAAGCATTGAATGTCTCTCCTGACTTTTGTTTTGTGTGTGCAAATTGCAAGTGCTAGTACTGACACATTTGAACTTGGGTCTACCGGCCAAGAGTCTGATGCGACTACCACTATGCCAGCAATGACCGGTAAGACACTGGAATGTTGATTATCGAAGACTTATAGAACGAATACCAGTATTCACAGCAATCGCTTCTAATGTTACGTTTGCACCAGGGATTGATCATTTGCATATAAATAAGTTCCTTCTTGAAAATAACAATATTTTAACACTTCTACCAATCGGTTTCAAACATTATTTCAATAACTTTAATAATCACCATTTTAGTGAGTTTTGTGTTTGAAGACGCTCAAAAGAAAAATAGTAAATTATACGCAGTGGCCGTCGAATTTAATATTTCTGTTAGTAGTATCTTCTATGAGGGTAGGCAAGGGGTATTTCCGTAAGCTGTAATAAATTGTTATTATTTTCGTTAATAATATAATTTAAATAAATGAAAAACGTAATTTCGTAGACATGGGCAAGTTGTAAAATGTAATGAGCTATTTTATTCTTCCGTAATTCGTACAAAGATCTTATTTTTTGTAAGCTTATAAAGCATTTTCCACATTAAATGTCGTAATTCGTACACAATTTCAAACTGGTAATTGCTCTTTTCAATCCCGGTGTCGTGCGAAACATATTCGTTCGCTAAACCTTCCGGGAGAGGTCGTTGTACATGCGCAGTGAAGTTCTTGAATTTTGTACGTTTTCTTTGCGGTTTAGTGGATTCTCGTAAATTAAAATAACATACATTGCTCAATGAAAATAAACGTTTTAATATATGGTGTCTATGTCACCAGGAAAGGTTGTACTGAAACTATTATTGAATGTTGACGCATTGACTGCGGGGGGCATAAGTTGTTACGTATATCTCGAATGTGGGAAGATTCATCCACGCATGTTTTTATCTTGTCGATTGAATTCTTGCAGTTCAATATATTTATATTCAAATTATTTTTTTAATTGATACTTACTAATAGCGTACTTTGCAAGCACGGCGTATTTATTTGCCAATAACTAGCACGTCAGAAGTACAGTGTATTTGAATTAAATCTGTTCAGAAATGTTTATTTACTCGCTTGTATTTCGACATTTATATACCTTTCTAGGACAAGTTTAATTTGCAGTCTGGTATGTTTTATACTGTCACGGTACCGATGATTTTTTTGTAAATTAACAAGTTTATTGGTTATGTATGTATAATTGCTGAACACATCGATATTACATTTTGTAATTGTATCAGTTGTTCATATTTATAATTGTTCAGTATTTTATATTAAATAAATACGTACGAGTTATTAGGAGATGAATGCAAATATGCCGTATTTCAGGTTGTAGGGTGCGAGTTATTGGTAAATAAATATAAATGCGCTTACGAGTTAAAACTAAATGTGAATGCATAAATATATGTATATAACTGCAAGGACTCAATTGATAAGACATAAAACATATGTGTGGTCAAAACTATTTTCGGGGTTGACAAATGGTGGCCGACTTCCGCCCACCGTATATTTCATATTTACAATTATCTTATTGAAATTATCTGTTGTTGGAAGTCATGAGATTCTCTGAAATACTACTACAGAAACTACCAGTAAATACAAATAGTACAAAATACAACGACAATATCACGAGTACCTATGTTTTATGCGTATCTTGGGAGGATATAAGGCGTGGAAGTTCAACATGCAAATACCAGATGTGTTATTTTCTTTAACGGATTGACGTTATTTTGTCTGACGTTGTAAATAATATATATAGGTGTAGCATTCATTTTTTTGTAATTCAACTATTCTATTGTTTTACTAGAATAAAATGTGAAAAGCTGTCTCTTCTAGTCCCCTTCTATTGGTGATTCTACAAACATCTCAAGAAAGACCACGTATCATTTTGTTTAACAAACATGAAAAAATAATTGCTAAGAATTGAGAAAAGTTGAGATTTCGTCACACAAAATATCTAACGAGAGTCTACTCAGGATACTTACATACCATGTATAACATGTAACTGGGAATTTGTTTTAACTGTAAAGTGTAAATTTTTTAAACCCTATTTTTTACTGTAGTGTAAATGGAACTTTCATTTCATTTCCTGTAAAAACGTAAAATGCATTCTTTATTTCCTGTATCTGTACTAGCTAACCCCCTTCTATGTCATATCTTCCAAGACCTTCTCCTAGTCGCCTACGGAATGGTCCTATTCATGTGAGCGCCACAGGGGCAGTTGATACATCGCTGAGTAGGTGTGACCATTATTATACCTGGATAGTGGCAAAATCTATACCCATATTTTTACCAAAGTACCATTTTTGTCATCACTGTTTATTCTAAATAAAACAGTTACCGTATTTGTTCTATTAGAAGAGCATCTCCAATAGAAGTACATGTAAGCCAACAGCTGCATTGTTTATTGTCTGTCACTTACATAAAAGCATATTATTAACACAATGTTCAGGTTATTTATACCAAATCGGAAAACTATTACAGATATTTATCCCTATTTTGACCAGAAATAAAACCGATACTTATACCTAAAATCCCCAAAACGAGACCCATTTTAGGGGCACGTCCCCATTAGGCAAGTTCTATGTACCCCCCCCCCTCCCCAATGTGAGCGCTGGGAGCACTAAATGAGTATGATCGCCGGCACAAAGCACAGGTGCATACCGGGAAGTACTGGTCGACAATTTCATGGCATAATTTCATAGTTCGTTTAGAATTGCATTCCCGGAGGAATTCTATTTAAATCAGTGGTCTAAGCTTACAACAAACTCTTAAAAAACCCGAGATATAAGGCTTCACCGGAAACATGTTTAGCGCGTAAATTCAAGATACTCATGTATGCATGGGGTTGAACAGTTTTGGTTTTTACCTCAGCGTGTCACATAAAAACAAAATCTGTCACTAAAAACATCATTTCAATTTGTTACAATAAACGCATCATATGAAACGTGTCCTTGTCATGGGAAATAATTGAGTTAAATGCTTTCAAATTGTTACGGCGAGTCCATATTTTTTTATTTAAGCATTTTCATTCTGTAAAATAAAATATTATCCCCATGAGAAATAAAATGTAACAGTTTATAAAAACAGAGCAGAATAAGAATAAACACAATGGAATTTAAGCAGCTAGTAAATTTGGTTTATATTCTAGCAGTGTCACATTTTAGAGTGTATTTAGTCACATATGTAAAAATTAGAATGGCCCAGCTGCAGTGATTTGTTTTCAGTTAAATGATAATAATAATAATAATACAAAAAATAGGAAAAAATAGTTTTGCTAAAGGTGGGGTGAACGCGGTTACAGGGGATTTCGAGTTAACACCTCCATTTCGCTATATTTCTTTTAATTTAATTTTAAATTTAAAAAGAAATAAATCGCCCAGACTGTGCCAGTCTAGTAACAATATATATATATATATATATGTGTGTATATATGTTACGTGTGCAAAAAATACGTTTTGCTTTTAGTAGCATACTACTAGTACACTTAAAATCAAGAAATACGCCCTCTATCGGTAAACAATTTAATACTCGCGACATTATATAAAATAAAATATCGCAATGTTATTTATTTTGCGAAAAAATAGGACTTTTGTAATATCGGCTTCAATCGTGTCTGTTCTCGTTTTATATTCCGCAGCTCACCTGACCCACTCATTAACATGTCTGGCACAACGAAACAATAAACAAACATACGCTACCTGCGTAACAACAAATTATTTATTCAAAATGGCGACAAACTTGCTAGTCGAAGAAGATGAGCGATATCGTAGATTTGCCGCTTGAAAATCGCCGCCTTGCTTTATTATTAGCTCGTGCATTGCGGAGAGCAGATGCAGACAGTTTTATAACCGTTTATGATGAAATCGTTCCGCACGATTTGCCCCATGCACAGGTAATATTTTGAATGAATTCAATGGTCGCTCGCGAGATATTTTACGGGGTTGGCCAGTGTATCACACATTCCTGTCAACCACGCACTGTCCCTACCATACATACATCCGTATTTGCATTAGTTTTAGATGACCGATTGGAACGTTCTGTATTCTTATTATATTGTGACATAGTTTGGTGTTTTTTTCTCAAAGAACATAGATCAGTTTTTTTAGTTTGTAAAATTGTTAGTGTTTTTTTATTTATATTTTTCAAACTTGTCCAAACACGACGTACCAATCATTTTATAAGTGTCACTGTCAGTTTAATTCTGACATACGTAACCAACCGGCTTTCCGCTAAGGTTATTCAATAGTTTTAGACACGGTGGTTAATGCTATTACAGTGCAACATTTAATCAATTTTCAACTTGTTAGATTAGGCACTTGGTAAATAACATGAAAGATGACCAATATATTCCAGATCATTGCAGCGAATTAAAATGTGCGACTCTGACCACAGGCTATTAAGTTCAGACAGTTGTATAATGTTCAATTTACTTTACTGTGGATGATGATATGATGTTTTTAAAAAAAACATTTTTCAAAAATTTATATTATTAATTCATGGTGTGAAAGTGACACTTGTAGCGAAATTTGAAATGATTAGAATACAAATAATTCCTGTTACTACAAAAACAAAACAAAAAGACAAACAAACATTTTATCTATAACTAGGGTGATGATAACAACTCATTACTATCAACACCACAAATCCATTCTCTTGACTTTAATAAATATTTATTTTAAATTGCAGTTGAATCTAACCAGCCAGTCGATGAGTATAGTGCACAATGATGTAATTTATAGACAATGTCCGTCATATAATACCATGAACAAACAAACATGTCTTTCACTGACTAGTCAGCTAGCTAAACACATGGAGTTCCATGCTATACATAATAACCCTCCAAAATAAATTACTGAACTAACCAACATTGTTTTGCGCACACGCAGTAGTGGGGGAATATGTTCACAGATGTTCTACATTAAGCAATATTCACATTATAGCATTCATAATAGAGAAAATAGCAAAATATGAAATTAAACAGCATCATAGGTACTCTCTAGTTAACTGTGGTTAAGCCACTTTAAAATTGTCTTCCATCGATCATTCAACATAAATTTCTACAATTCATAAAATGCATAATGCAAAGTACATATCTTCATTCACCATTCTGATTAGGTATTTCAATGCAAAAAGTTATAGTTTGGGTGTATATGAAGACTGAATTTTAGTTTTCTGTCACTATTGAAATGAGAATTTCGTTTATGTTTGAGCTGAACTCTTATTCCCAAGAGAGACAATGAATTTCACATTTCGCTCTGTTTTTTAAGAAAATTCACTGTTTTATTAGGCTTTTTCGCCTCTTACATATCTATGAACATATCACCTTGCCCGTACATGTATAAAATTTGTGTTCTTTTGTGGAAAGTCAGTTGATGAGCATGTTGGGGGGGTTGAGCACTGACCCAGAGGTTCAGTAGTGTTTGTTTGTTCATGGTATTACAATGTTCTATTGTTATGCTATCAGCTGATAGAAACAACAAACCTTGTTTCTGTTTGAATTGTTAAAGGGGAACCGCTCAATCCCATGGATTGCACCAAAGAATCATGGGACACTATTGTTCATGTTGTTTACAATGTTAATCTATCTTTTGTTATCCATTGTTATTTTAATCCAGAAAGTAAATTTGTTGTGAAATTAATCTTAACTGGAAGGTGCCCCTTTAAATTTATTATTTATAACAACGGAAGAGAATGGGTTTGTGGTATTGTTAGTATCTGATAGATTCTTATCAAGATGAATTATTTATTTCTTTTTGAAATCCAGATTGAAGCCATAAAAGAAACTGCAAGAGACTTAGCAGACCTCAGCCTTGAGGAATTTAATAAAATGTATGCCAGTTTGAACTCTAGTAATGAGGCCGTGGTGGAAAGTGGACCTTGTAATAGTGTGCTAAATCAGGATTATTACATCGAAGGGAACAATGAAAGCGTAAAACACTGTACTCAAAGAGACAACAGTGACTCTGATAGTGAGGATACCGATGAACTTGATGACACTCTACTAGGTTATCCTCCATTTGGTCATTCTCCAACATTGCAGGATGTTCTGAAACCTGCCGTAGGTTTGATTAATGATAGCGCACCTTCCAGTAAAAGTATCAAATGCCCTCCAGCAGAGCCCATCACAGAAACCAATCTCATTCATCAAGTAGAACAAAATGTATGTGAGAAACTCGCACATTATAGTGATGAGGACTTCAGACATTCAGCAACAAGAAATGATAGTGAGGAATTGGGAAACTCGGGTGAAGGTGATGTTGCTGCTGAGGGGAAAAAGAAAAGAAAAAAGAGAAAGCGGAAAAAGAAAGGTTAGTTCTCTGTTTTATTGTGAAAGCATGCTGCCCCAGACTATCTATGGTATGATGTAACGTGTGTGTTAAATGTTTGCCCATTTTGACAATTCAGAAACAAAATTAATTTGTTTTTATCTGCTGGCATAGTTGTTGTATGCTAGATCCAGAGTTTGAATCACAGAATTGAGTGTGTGTTATACATGTAAAAGTGGAGGCCAATAATGCTGTTGGATGCTTGTACTAACAATAATTCATTCTAAGACAGAATGGGAGCACTGTCTCAAAATAAAAAAAAATCTATATTAATTATTAATATATTTAATGTATAATGTGTAAAATTCTGGTGATCAAGACTTTTGTTCTGTTATAGCTTTAAAAAAAAACAATAAAAAAATTCTGTACTAAAAAAATATAACTGATCAGTAGACTGAATAATTTATGATTTAAAAAATTGTATTTATACCTCTTTATGTACCTTGTAAATTGTTTCAACGTAAGACCTTGGGGAGTAATTACGAATAATAACTTGGTACTAATGTGATTGAGTGGAATATACACTGGATTTGAATTGTTTTTGATACTGTAGTGTTCCCTACCAGTGTCTTATAGATAATTTGTTTCACTTTTTGAGCAATTATTTTATTATTTTACCCTTTTTGTTTTGCTTCAGTCCTAACACAATAAAGATAGACAACAATGGTAATATAGCCTTATAACGTATACAACTACGATAGACTTTAAATCTATTTGATGGCTATTATGAATTTAAAAAACTCATTTGGTAATGAAATAAAATAGTACAATAATTGTCTGTTATGCTAAATAAAGAAATATGTGTTTCTGGTAGCCTGACCTTGCCTGGATTTTGCATGCCAATCCTGTATATTTTTATGGCTAAACTGGAAAGTGTCTGCTGAAGGGTGCTCATTTTTTGTTTCTAGCTGCATAGTGGAGATATTTTTCCCATGAAAATCATGTGAAAATTTCAAATGCAAAATACTGTAAAAAAATAGTTATACTCACCCTATTTGTGTTTTCAATGTTACCATAAGTAAATACTCTATTTATTTAATTTGATCTGATCTACAAATAGGAGTTTTCCTGTGATTACATGTTTTCATGTATGTATTAGTTTATGGCAAAATATTAAAACTGAAATATATATACATGTAATATATAAATTTGGTTTGTTACCAAAATGTGTGCTTCTGCATGCAGTATCATTGCTAATACTGAAAACTGTAATTAATCAACCCAGTTAACATGCTTGTTTTGTGATGTTAGTATAGCATGTACAAAGTAACTATGGCAAATATGTCATTATTTTATACCTATTTGATATACTAGTAATTACCATTATCTTTTCATTAAAGGCAGTTTGATGCAAATTCAAATGTTTCACTACTGAGCATATATGCAATGCATTATGGGAAAAAAACTCCCATTTTATACTGTATAATACAATTTATCACACTGAAGAATGACTAAATTAAATGTCATTTTTTTTAAAAATGGTTTAACAGTAGGATTCATGTCAGTCATAATATAATGAAAGAACAAAGACTATGACATACGCATGTACAAACTTCAATTCAACATGAGCCTTTCTAAATTGGACCAGGAACAAATAATTACTATTAGTGGTGGCTTAACTGAAAATTATATATTTTTTTTTGAGTGGTTGGAAGTGGGTTTCCAGCATAGACCTTTTCTATGGCTTTAGTCAGTACTACATGTAACATAATTATTGAGGTAATTTGATAGGTGTTGATGGAAACACAGACCTCAACGAATCAAAGACATCAAGGTGGATTGATAGTATCAGAATGTGGTAGTTTACTGCCAAGTGGTTAAGTTGATAACAATTATTGTTTCAACAACCATCAGATGGTGCAGCTATAAATAAAGTGATTCAACTATTAGGATTATGGTATTACTGCTGCATTTTGCAGCTATATACAGCTAAATTCATTTATACATGTAGTTGGCTTTGGAAAGGTAAACATAAACATAACAATGTCTAGTGGAGGTAGCGGTGAGGGTAGCCTTGTGTGTAAGGGGGGGGGGGCCTTGTGTGTATAGAGTGAAACATTATCTGCATGAACACAAGCTGCTCCGGGTTCTTAGTAAATCACTCTTAGCAGAGAAATGAAACTATGACATGAGTAATATGTGACATAAATTTGATCTGGAGTAGGTTGGATAGTCTAAGCAGGGTTGCTGCAAGTTTAATGACTTAAGTCAGTTTCATCAATCACCTGTTTATTTTTGGTATGTAACTTGGGATGAGCAGGCATAAACACCTGCTGTATTGACAGTCATGTGATTTTATCAACATGTGTTCAGCAACCCTCTTGTGAATTTGCATATGAATTCTTTGATTTGATTGGGCAAGACAAATTCATCATTATCATATTACCTGTTGCTGGAGAACAGGTTCTCAGCTCAGCAGGGAGAGAGAAGGAAAGTAATTTAACCTGTGCTCTATTCTGTTTTGCCCGGTTAGTTTCCATCATTGTTTTGTTTTCCCTGTGCTGTCTCACTACATGCAGCATAGTGTAATATGTGTAAATATTTATGAATTACTGTTTTTTTGTTTTTCAGACTTGATTTTATGCTTTCTCCAACTGATATTGACTTGATCAAGGATTCAGTTGTCGCAAAATTAGTTTCGAATATTTTGTCTAAAATGGCAACTAGTGGCATGGAACACTTCTAATTATTTGATATGTTTTGGTAAATTTCACAGAAAACTTGGGCCCTTTGTCTGAAATGCCATTTTGAAAAAAATGCCATTGAATTTCCTATGTCCGGTGAGTTTCTGTATCACTGTTGATAAAGTTTCAATGCATTTCTCAAAGTAGAGACAATAGAATAGTTAGTGCTCGGTTGTTCCAATGCATGTGCTGATTAGTATTTTTAATTTTAGGCCATTAACTAAATTCATGCTACAGATATAAAACACTGTGGTTGAAATTCAGGCATTTCTTCTGATTCCTGACATGTAGATTTTATCTGCCATGTAGGTACTTTACAAGTAAATACAGATTCTAGTTTTCACTCCTGCCAAATGGTGGTTAAAGTTGTGATAAAGATTGTTTCAGACCTTTTCATGCTGTTCAGTGTCTCAATTTGTTGAAACAAATGCCTCGATAGAGATGGATGTTTATCTGATTGTGACAGGGACATTTTATTTTCTGTCTTGTTCAATGTACCAGCAACTTTTATTTTTTATTTTTTAATCCCTTTCAACAAACTGAACCCAAATAAATGGTTACAGAGACTGCTTCAACTAAAAAAATGACATGAAAATATTCATGTGAACTATTTTCTGATTTAGTGGACTGTGTTTTTGTTCTGTAAAATGTACATGTAGCATTTTTTTTGCTGAGCAGATTCAAATGAAACTTGATACATGGGTGATGTGGGATAAACCAGACATGATTAGTTATTGGTTGCAATCAATGCATTTTAAATATTTAGTTTGCATACAAGTAGTTCAGAAAGGCTTCTTGCTTGAATGACTATTCTTAAATTTTTAATGTTGCATATTCAATTTTTTCAAATGCCTTGTATACCCTCAGTACACGAGTACTTTCAAAGCTTTTTTTAAGTACTGTAAAATCTCTAGTTTTGGCATCATTCTAGGCATCAGGGAAGAATGAAAGGCTTTAATATGCTTCTAAAATAGGCATCGCAAAATGTTGAAATAAGAACTCTTCAACAGATTTGAATGAATTTTGCTACCTGTAGAGGTTTGCTCTGGGATAATCCACATGCATGTACTGGTGTGTATGCACACATGCATGTACTGGTATAATGTATTGAAGTTGCATTCCCTCTGTGTATGATCTGTAGAAAACCTTTCACTGACCCCTGTTAACATCATAAACACTTTGAATTGTATAATTTGAGAAATAGAATCCAACAGTATCCTGAAATAAAATTTAGTTGGTCCTTCTCAAATGCATGTAATTTTTTTTTTTTATTACAACAGTAAAATGTGCATGCAGGTCTGATTTGGTATTCATCTACCATGACTGTCAGTGCAGCCTAACTCCAATGCTGCAATATTTCATGTGTGGCCATACCAACTGTTTCTATCATTTTTTATGGTTATCACAATCTCTGGGATATTCTGCATACATTTTATTAAATACTATAGGCCAACAGTCTTCAGTACAAATAACTGTTTTATGGGGCACACTCTGGATGTTCAATTCATTATTTCCAACTGCAAATTTTTAACTGTTTGATAAATATCAATCTGAAGACTTACTGTATGCAGGTTACACGTAATGCAGGGCTTGAGTTTCCTTGGGAGTCTGCATCTTGCATGTACAGGTTGACATTTTCATTCAAAAATGAAGTGTTTCAAGTAGAGCTGAAAGGTTTTACCTACAAGTGCCCATTTTCCAGTTAGGCCATAAAAAGATGCAGGGTCAGCGGGTTACCAGAAATGCATTTTTTTTTTTTGACCTTGGCCGCCATGCTTGGGCACATTATTTCTGTGATGCTCCAATCATGAAACAACCCATCATTGTATGCTTTAAATTGTTTGTGTTGAACTGACTTTCAGGGAAATATTTGGGTGAGCCTTTGTTTTGGCTGCTGTGGATATTTATTGAGGCATGTATACATATACAAGGTTATTAATATAAATATTTTGTGTTAACCTACAGGTAAAGAAGAATTGCTGTCACCAGGGCTAGTTTCACCAGCAGAATCGACATCATCAGATCAAACTACTGGTACAACCACTACAATTACAGTACCGAGACTCAATCCCAAAAGTAAAAGTGTGTCATTGGTGAAAGTCGATCAACAATTTGTAATTGGTGTAATTGTGCATGGCAACCGCGTTGTGACAAGTGAAATCAAAGAACAACCTCAGGAAAAATCAGTCGGGAACAAACTGTATAGGAATTCTAACAAGGTGAACTGCAAAGATTTAGTTTTATCTCAGCCTGTTAAAACGCTTCCAAAAGACACTGCCAAACTAGCAACCAGCCATGTTATCAGTAAATCTACATGTAACATTGCCAGTCAGAGTAGCAAGCATAAAGTAGACATGGCCAGTATTGAAGAGTGTGCATTCAAAGTACCTCACTTAGTGAAGAGTGCTGATACTGGGAGCACAGCTGCAAATAAAACTGAGATTAAAAAGATAATCACTGAACCTAAACAGGAACATGAAGAAACGATAAATGTGGTAGCTGCAATACCTAATTTAGAAGAATGGTCAGCACAGCTAAAGATGGACCTTGGAATTACTGATTACATTACTGAACCGACCAGGGAGGACACCTTTGAGTTAGTTGAGAATAAACGCAAGAAAAAGCAACAGAAATTGCAATCTGATCAAACTGAGAACAAGACTGATAATCGTCAAAAAGTCAAAGGGTTTGGTTCTCGGTTCCGTGCTAAAGGAACACATGTTGAATTGAAAAATAAACCTAAGGAGTACAGTGCTGCATTTATGCCTGTCAGTTGTCAGGGTGATGAGCTGTTGTTGAATGATAACAATGCTATAAAGTCGCAGAACTGGCAGAAATTTAAACCAAGATTTAATGAATCCAGAGGTGAAGAAAATGCATTGATGAACCCACCTTGTTCAAAGTTGCACATATCAAGAAGTTCGCCAAACCTGCCATTAAAACAATGTGATAAGATCTCTATGGCAACTTGTAATGGATTAGTTATCCCACAAAATATGAAGCAGATGGCTACTGAGGACAAACCAGGGGCGTTGCAGTATATGAAAGAGCAACCAAGTATATCGAGGAGTGACAGCTTACCTGAAATTGGAATGCCTGATGAAGACCTGCAGCTGAGTCCAGTTGCTCAGTCTAACTTCAATGATACCTATGCAAGTCGCGTGAAGAAAAACTTGACACCTCCGGGACCTAATAATCATCTGCCAATCATCGAGTGTGCTTCTGTGGTTTCCTCTACTGTTGGGACAAAACCGGCTGATGGAAATGCTGCTGTGACTGAGAACGCATCTGATACAAGTGCAATTGAGTTTTTATCGGCTATCAAATTTAAAACAGAGGAACTAAATGCAGAGGAAATAAATGCAGACAAGACTGATGGGCAGCCATGTCTGACCCCGAAATCAAATTCAAAGCTGGGAAACAATTTTACAGGAAAATATGTAAAACACAAAGGAATACAGATATCTCCTTCTTGTGCCTTAGATGAGGATGATTTAGGAATAACCTTTGGTACTGTAGTCTTTAAAGGAGGCCACCTTGTATTGGATTCTGTGGAAGAAAAGAAAAAGTCAGTTGTTCATCATAGAGTTCAATACGTTGAAGATCATCAGTGTGTAAAAAGCCAGGACTGCAAAATTTACAACCATAAGGATGTTGTACGTTACTTAGAAAGAAGTAAGTGCTTTCATAGCTATCGAAAAATTGGGTCAGTCTTTGAAAAAGTGTAGAGATGCATCTTCCTATGTTAAGAGTTGCATGTACATACTTTATGTAACCAATTTGACAGAGGTGCAAGTCCTTCATCCTCTTGAATTTGCAAGATTATTGTAAACCCACAAAGCAATTGTATTACCTATACTTGCTTCCATATGACATGGCCTACACCGCAATCTGAGATGTTATTGTCTGGTATACTAAGTTGTGGTAAAATAACGTGTAGTAAATTGAGCCATGAACCAAACTGGCTGTATCAGTCTTCACACATTGTACATGTCAAAATATATTTTTAACGTATTGACAACTTTAAAATCCTATCGACCAACATAGTTTTGAATTTTACTTCAGAACACGCAGAAAAATATATTCGCTGAAAATACAAAAGATGTAGAGAATGATTCACAACATTTGAATTTATTGAAATTTATTTAAATCGCCATGCAAGAAGTGCCATGTTTATTTAATGATTAATGGCACCAAAAGGTGCTACAAACTGAAATGCTTTTTAATATTTGGCTATTTACTAAAATAAAAAAACTTTTGTTCAGATATATTATATTGCATTGGATATATGGCAAAATATATCTGATAATGACTGTATAGCCTACAAATGCACTAATGTATGAACTATACACCTGAAAACTGTTTTTAATGCTTGATTTTCAGAAAAATCATCTGACAAATATACCAGTTTCAGGGTAACTGTTAGTTTTAAAACGGTAAAAAACATTTTGTGACAAAGTTATGGATACTATCAGAGGAAAACAAAAATAAAGAATCAAACCTCAATTTAAAATGAGTGATACTGTAAAATTTAGTTTAGCTGGAATTAATTTTCGCTGAAAAAAACTTTTTGGGTGTTTTGTATAGAATATTTTTTCACTGATTTTTGACAAGTTGAATGCAAAATGTAGGAAAATTTTATTTTCACTAAATTATCTCTTTAGCGAAAATTCATTCCAAACAAAAATGAAGCATTTTACAGTACCACCTTTGATCATGTGACCCCTTGTTGCACATTCTGGTAAATTGAATCCCGAATATTCCTGTAACATTCCTTCACTCTTTGTTTTACAGCCTGGAAAATCACCTGCAGACAACTGACTGAAAATCCTGTTAAAGTTGTGTGGTACAGTGATGAAGACTGAGAATGGATTACCCACTACAATTATGTGGTACGGAATTTACATCATTTCAACCATGGTTGCTTACAAAATGCACATATGTAGGTTCAGCTAAATGTGCAATGTCTTTGAACCATTCAGCCACAGTAAATGGAAGGTTAAATTTTCAAGTTTCTTGCGTTTTCAGTGACTTTAAAAAATAAATAAAATTAAAAAAAAAGCAAAGAAAAAAAAAAAAATTGTTCATTTTAAGTGGACTGTAATGATAAACTTTCATAATTATCCGTCCACGTTAAAACATTGAAACAAAATATAGAAAAAAAAATAAAAAATTTACATGACAGTGCCATGTAAGGAGATGTAGTGAACTGCTAGATTTGGAGTGAAGTTTTTGGGAGGTGGGGGGGGGGGGGATTGTCTTTCCAGGTGATGTACATATCAATTTCCTCCCAAGTTCCCCGATCAATTGAAATGTTTAATTGCTATACGTCATAGCTTTCTCACTAAATATTTATTTTCTGAACTCCCCATGTTGCAGCTTTCTATTTTAAATATAATGAACTGCAATAACTTTTTTTTATTATTTATTGAAGTCAGCTGATTTACTAAAAATGTAGTATCTATGTTCATGATGAAGTTAATAGTGTACATAAACAAAATTTAGTCTCTTAAGTGGTGTCTGCAAATGAATTTGTAATTCTTTAGGTGAAGAGACGGGACTATTTTGATATTCGTTGATTTCAAAGGCTGAAATTGTTAGTATTATATTTTGAGATTCTTGTAATCCTGTGAGCAGACATAATTGTAAGCCTTTTGTACAATTTACTAGACGGGGGGGAAAACACAAGGAAATAAGTTTTGTAAATTTTGTGTTGCTGGCTTTCCACACCATATTGCAATTGCCAGCATGTTACAAATTCAGTATTCAAAACTAAGATATGGTACAACATATCACAAGACTTGGACCCAGTTGATGGGCAAGATTTATACAACTGAAAATGGTACAGTATTTGTTTGGTGTTTAATAGGACTTTAATAATTACCTGCTTAATTTCAATTTGCCATGTACATTTGATACTTTTTTGTGCATGTCCTGTGATGCTTTGTGCGCAGGGGTTAAGAGACTGTGAATTCCATTGATGAGCTACATTTAGCATTTGCTTAAATTTGATGCGATAATTTCAATTAACATTTTTGTTTTCTCCTCTACTGATATCAAGTTAAAGACTTGACTTGCCTGGGTGGAGGCACTAAAAGGTGTCTAGGCATTTATAGATGGTGTATTTATTTAGGTTGTCCATGTGCAACAATCATTTCTAGCAACTTTTGTTGGCTTGTTTTAAGTTCAATTCTGATAAGGAATTTTTCTGAGACTGGATTTGAATTTTTCTTTTTGAGGACTGTGTCCTATTTGGAGCAATTTTTTAGTAATCTTTTGTATGTCTGGTAAAAAATTTACAGAAAGTGAATTTCAACCAAAATCCCCCCCCCCCCTTCCCATAATAACTTTAATAACAGTGCACATTGTACAATTGCCTTTCCATATATGAAAGATGTGGCCACATTGAACAAGCAAAGGTTCGAAAATTAGCTATTAACTTAAAAGCTTTAAGCCAGGTGAAGTTTTTTTATTTTAACAGAACATTTATTTATTCGTTAAAATCTCAACATTGTACATGTCAACAGATATATTTTGGCACAAAATGCGTAGTGACAATTTAGTTGTTGTAAATTATACCTGAAATGATGCACAACTCTCTATAAAATAATTTCGAGGGCACTATCTAGGTACAAAATAGCTGTATTGGTTCTAATAAGTGCCAAAATGTGCAAGGCTTGAACTTAAGAGGCATTCTCGATTCCCAACCAATTTTTTGCTTTGCTCTCTGAAAAAAAATGAAATTATCCTGAGATTAACAATGTGTAGTAAGACGATGCAGAGTTTATTGGTGTTGAAAAACTGTCCCTTCTCGGTTCAAGCTCCAAATCCTAAAATTATTGATGGAATATTAAATATAATCAGTATTCTCATTGCATTGTTGTAACAGCAGACCATGAAATAAAATTGTTATTCAATAGAGCAGTCTACACACGGCCAATATTAATACCTTCGGTACTAAATGAATCTGCTTGGTAAACGTGTCTAGTATAATACAATGCAAATAGCTGGAAAACATTTGTTGACCAAAAATGCACATGTAGACATTTGCATGAACATTGTAACGTGTACCACAAACATTTTGGCTTGGCGTTACACAAATTGATAAAACTAAAACAATTTTATTGAACAAGTTTGAAGCCTGATCTGTTAACATGTTGTGTAAATATTCTACCTGGTCATACGTGGCTGTACAAGAATGAGTAGTTAAGTTTCATGTACAAATCTCTACTGTAGTACAAGCAGCAGACTGGGAACAAATTATAAAATGTTTACAATGCCAACATGTCCAGAGTAGCAAAAACAAGTGGTGTATTTTGCATTATTCACTGTATTGTTTTTTTCATCTACAGGCTGGTTGCACACCTGGGAATAAATTTGTTTTAATGCAAACCTGTGTGGAGTTTGATTACTAGTGAATGAATATTTGGCAAATTTATTTGGATTTTATACATGGGTTTACCGAATCATTGTTCAAAAGGACAATCACATTACACAGAAGGCTTTACTTTTAAATTACATGGGAACTGCCTTGTGGTCACTATGGATTGGTGAAAGTTTGTAAATTGGGTTTTTAGCTGAAAGATATTTTGGATGTAAAGTTTGCTTGCAAGAATCTACCCATTCTGAATGAAGCCTCCATACTTGCCATTCATAGTACCCATATTTTTCCTGAAAATTTAAATCGTGCATGTGGACTACAATTCCAGGTTGAACAAGACAAACTTGCAGTCTGTTGTTGACATTTAGTCTATTACTGCCAAGTCGTGCTAATTCTCTGACATCTATCCTGTATTTCCAGTTTAGTAAAAGTGAAATCTGATGGGTGCATTAGTTGTATGAACTCAAAGAACTCTAAAATTATTAGTTTTTAAAGTTGGTATGATGTTGGGTGTCTGATGCATGTCCCCATTTCTACTCTAACTGGTAGACATTTGTTTGTTGGTTTTGCATATCAGAAGTCCTTTCTTAGACACGCTTTGACCAATTTAGTTCGAACTTTATCAATTCTCTTGATTGAAAGGAAGCATACAAATGCTGACATTTCATTTGTCGTATGTTAAAGTATAATAACAGGGGGCCGTGACATTTTCGATGTCTTGTTAAAATCCAAATCTGATAAGGCCAATCATCATGGATTACTTGCATTGGTGGCACAACCACACAAATGTTTATTTTTACAAATGTAATATGGACAAAAACATTTTTGACTCCCATGTGCAAAGCACACAATGGGAGTCTTTGCAGTTAGTGTCTGTATGTGTCCGTCCGTTCCACTGCTATCTCAAGAACCATACATCAGTTTTTGATGAAACTTGGTGAATAGATGCTCTGGGCTCATGCACAGGTTTGATAAAGTTTTGGTAGAAATGCATGCATATTAATTACCAAATTTGCATGATAATTAGCTAATTTTTAGCTGTTCCACTGATATCTAAACAACCACTCATTTGATTTTGATGAAACTTGGTACATAGATGCTCTGAACTAATGCTAGGATTTGATTAGTTTTTGGTAAAATGCCTATATATGTGCATATTAAATACCTAGTTTGCATAATTAATTAAATAATTTTCAGCTTTTGATATTTCAAGTACATTTCAATGAAACTTGGTACATAGATACTCAATGACTATGCAGAGATTGTTTTGGGATAAATATTTGTGCATATTAATTACCTAATTTGCATAATTAATTTTCTGCTTTTTCACCTATATCTCAAGTACTTATCACATTTCAATGAAACTTGGTACATAGATCCTCTAAGACTATGCAGAGACCTGGTGAGTTTTAGGGAAAATAATTGTGCATTTTAATTACCTAATTTGCATAACTAACCAACTTTCACACTGATATCTCAAGTACTAATCATCACATTTCGATGAAACTTTCTACATGGATGCTGTAGGACAATATACAAACCTGATTAATTGTGGGTTAAAATCTGTAATATTAATTACCTAATTTGCATAATTGACCAATTTTGAGCTATCACACTGATATCTAAAATACTAATTATTCCATTTCAATGAAACTTAGTGCAAAGATGCTCTAGGACAATGTACAAACCTGATTAGTTTGGGGTTCTGTTCATATTAATTCTCTAATTAGCATAATAATTCGTAATTTGTTGGTTCTAATCACATTTCAATAAAACTTGGTACATAGATAGTCTGTTACATTGTGCATAGCTCATTAGTTTTACACTCAAATCTGTTCATATTTTAATTTTCTGATTTGCATTATTAGTTTTCAGCTTTTCCATCAATATCTCAAATACAAGTATTTTTGAATTATTTTTAATGCGTTTCCAATTCTCTCAGCACACGGGAGTTCTTTCAAAGCTTTTTGATTTATATGTTTGATTATGATTTTTTAGCACAAAAATGGCTGCCATTCGGCCATCTTGAATCAGATCGTGAAATAAATTGATGTGCATATGTATAATATCATGTATGTTGTATGTGTGAAGTTTGATTATAATTCGTCTAGGCATTTCTAAGATACAGGTCTGGATGCATGCACAAGGGTCAAAACATAAGTCCTCGTTTTTGGACTGCGTCCGAACAGGAACTAAAAATATTGCTTTTGCAGGATACACAAAGATTAGATAAAAAATCAAAACCACTAATTTTCATGTGCAGTGAATGTTATTAGATGTACCAAAACAACCAGTAAATATGTGTACTGTTACATTTTCTTTTATTGTAGCTGGAATTTATTGTCGCTGAAAATACTTTTTGGGTGTTTTGTATGGAATTTAATTTCACTGATTTTTGAAATGAGGAATGTAAAATATATAAAAAAAGTATATTCCCTGGATTTTATTTTCGCTGAATCATTCCTTCAACAAAAATAGCGAAAATGAATTCCAAGCAAATATAAAGTACTCTACAGTACTAGAGAATGTCCTTGTTTCAGCAAAGTGTTTCAGGGTTATGACAAATTATACTCCAATGTATCTTACAATACACAGTAAAGAACAATGCTAAAAATTACATGTTCTTGTCTATATTGCACATTTAATAAAAAAAAACTGTAAAAGATGTACGTTTTCCAGCTCAAACTCCTACAAAATTTATAGAAACTTAAATTGTTCATTTTTTCTACAATTAAGTTTTCCGAAAAAAGCAACAAGTTTAAGTAATGCATAATTGAGTGTTGCCCAGATTTACAAGTGAATGGTACTTGTCAACATGACCACACCAGTCATTGAAAAAAAGAACTTGAGTGACTAACACTACTACAAAAATTGGAAGTACCCCCCCCCCAGTGGTAATACCACTCCACCAAACAATCTTGTGATAGGGAATAAAGTACATGCAAAGTGCTGACGTGGTATAATGTGCATAAACGCTTTATATACATAAAACAACACAAGGACAAAATGAAAAACTACAACATAAATAATAATCCATTCAAGCTTCAGTGAACAATTATGTATTATTAACAAAAACAAAAAAGTGTGCATAATTTGTTTCCTCCACATTTTGATAGGTGTGTGTTCTATGTGGGAAAATTGTCTTATTATGACAGTACTGAACCCAGAATAAAAATGTATTGTACATTAAAAACACAACTAAAACTAAAAGCAATTAGGTTAATGGTGTGTACACATTTAATCTTAAAATCATTCCTGACAGAAGCAAAAAAAAAACTAGGAGGAGAGGAATGTCTGTGATAAAAAGATGTACATTTACATTTTGTTTACAGAGATTTGCTTTAAAATAAAAGCCAGTTTTTTCTATTCATGATATCCAGAGCCAATTTAAGAACATCACCTTTTGTTATAATGAGCCAGTCATGGAAGCCAGTACTTCCATGTCAGAGACAATTCTATTACATTTTCCGCTAAGATTTTCTCCTGGACCAATAATTTTTAAGTGATCGCTAAATTTCTGAACAAACGTTCCTAACTGTGAGAAATAAACCAAGTCTTCAGCGATAGCTTTTTCATCACATCCCATAAAGTACGGTGCCTTTATTGAATTTGAATTAAGATCACTGAGAATTACAACAGGTCGCTCGCTTATGGTAGGTTTTCTTTTATGAGCGGATGACAGACAACTTTCTTGACTTGAAGATGTACTGCTTTGGCTGGCTGTCACATTAGTAATCTGGCTGGAGAGTAATGGCAGTAAATTGCATTGGATTGACTCTTGAGTAGTATCTGATGGAGGACTAGATATTTCAGGATCAAGAAGACTAGATAACGGCATCAACAATTCCCCAGACTTGGATCGTTCAAGCTCGAGATGCAGTAAGTTTAAATCTGATACACGGAGGTAAGACTTCAATAAATGGTACACTATCAATGCATACAGATCACATTTCTGTGTAGAACAGCTCCACACTTTACCACCAAACGGTTTCAAGATCTGCGCATAATCACATGAAGGAAGTTCTTCAGCTACGACAGACTGGAACTCGCTATCGGTTGGACATGAATCTTGTGAACTGTCAGTGGTTATACTGGTGCTGTCTTGGCTACTGGTGTCCATATCAGATTGCTTATTGAGTTGTAGCACCTCTTTCATCTCATGTGATAATGCACAGTCAAGTGGGGAGTACCCTGCTTTATTCCTTGCCATCAGTACTGGTTTACCTACAATGAATTATATACATTTATTCAATGCCCACAACTGCAGGACCACAACACAAAGAAACAAAAGTATTCAGTTAGGCATATCAAATTTATATTATGGGAGACGAAATGTACAAAAAGAACAAGCACTTTATATAAACAAAAGTGGCATACTTTAAAGTATTGTAATATTTATATAATATATTTTTCCTACAAATATTTACTAACATATCTATCATGTTTTAGCATTTGTTTACAGAGTATGTCCTGTTTGAAATGAACAGTTATTGATCTGAAAAACAAAGATGCAAGGAAAATATACACCAAGTTTGTCTTACTTATTGAGCAGACAAAGAATATTAACAAATGTATTGCAGAAAGTATCCATAAAATCGGTATTCAAAAATACATAGTTAAAACTTAAAAAGCTAAAGTTAAATGCAGAATAATTTTCTTGTATGTACTTTTGTCTGGTAATCTTTGGTTTAATAAAAAAACGAAAAACAAATTTTGCTTAATTTTTTAAACCAATCATCATGACCTTCTCAACCCAAATCTATGGTAGATACTGCAAGCCAGATTTCAGATCAAATCAGCAAGTAAGTATATGGTGGTAGATTTGGGGCTTCCACAGTGACAGGAAATGTCTGATATGTAGCTGATTCAAATAGGGACCAAACCATGTGATTTACCATGAGATACATAAAGTTATACCTAAATATTCTACAAACCAAATCAGATATATCAGGTGAGTGGTTCTGAGAATGAAGTCCTTCAATAAATAGTTATTGTTAGGCCATGTGCATTGACATTTTGTGTAAATAACATTACATTAGACACACATGCATTTATGTTGGTATGTGTCATATGGGAACCTCATTGATCACATGTAGCCACAGTGAACCTTGAAACACAATTCACGGGTTACGGATGTTTACTACATGGGGGCAGCCATCTTGAATACCCCAAATTAAGATTCCTACAAAACAGTAAAAAAGAAACCTCTCAACTGAATCACTGCTGCTGATTGGCTCCTGAGTTGAATGACAATTTTGGTTTCAAATACCCTAGAAAATGTTCTCGGTTCTGTGTCTAATGAGATGTTCCTATGATAGTATTTTATCGATGCAACAATACTGAATGTCGTTTGTTTGGGGATGACTTAACGCTAGCATCATTTGCCTGTAAAAGTTTATGGTTTTTCACTGTTTTGTAGGAATCTGAATTTTTCATTTCATTTTTTAGGTTTTTAGGTACAGTGCGGATACAAGATGGCTGCTCCCGGATAGTAAATATTGGTAAACTACCGGGGTAGTCACATTTATTATAGCACCACTGTGACTCACCTCCAGCCTTGACAATCAACCTAGCAATCTGAATATGTCCATTAAATATAGCATCATGTAAAACTGTAGTGCCACAGTCTGGTGATGCCAGCAAGTCAAGACCACCTTTGTTGTTTTTACCAGACTTGGTACCTAGCAAGAAATCACATCAACGTAACATTACTTATCACACACACAAACTGGGAGTGTGCACAGGTGATATATTTGTATGTACGCCAAAGTTTTGAGTTTTGACAAAAATAACTAAAAATATAACACATGACACAGAACAGAGTTGTTGCAGTACCTGTGAGAAGTCAACCCTTTTTATATTATGATAGCTTTAAGTACATCTTGGTCTTTCTGCGCATAGAGGAAAACCTACTTTTGTGAATTGAGAAGCGCTATAGAACTACCACAATGCTTATTAGGATTATTACTCTCACCACTATATTGGTTTCAAACAGCAAAACAGCAATATTGCCAGCTATGTTGCTGTTTGGCTTTCTATGCATGTTTCAGAATAGTTACGTGACCATGGTGAGTGAAATGAACATCAACTGGCGACATCGATGTAATACTGGGAAAGATGTTGAATATCAATGGAAGATGCAATTCCATTTCATTTTATTCAATTGTATAAAAATAAAGCAGTCTACAGTTTTTACCTTTTGTGAAGAATGACGTGATGGTTTGAGCGGGTTTAAATCTCAACAATTCCTTTACAATAGAAATATTGCCGTGGTTACAGGCTTCGTGTAATGGTGTCCATCCGGCATTGTCCGGTGCATTGATGTCAATACCAGGACATGCTAACAGCTCTTTCACTTTAGCTAGGTTGTTTTTAATACAAGCAACATGAAGCTGTGTCTCACCTGCAAGTCAATAGAACACTATTACTTCATAAGGAACTGGTGTAATTCTACCCATCTGACTAGATTACATCAGGGTGATCTAACGTGAAATACGTTTTTCATAATTCTAGTGTCATATAATGTAAAAATAAATACATATGAAGTTGGAGTATCTAGCCGTTGAGTGGTTATTGAGATATCAGTGGAACAGTTACAAATTATGATGCGAATTAGGTAATTAGTATGCAGAATTCTACCAAAAAGGCCTACAGATTGTCAAAGAGCACAGACGTGCCAAGTTTCATTCATTGGTGCTCAGTATTATGCATATTAGATCATTAATATGTATATAAGTCTCAATCCTAAGAAGCTAATCTGAAGGAGTTATTTAATGTATCAATGACCCTTCATAACCTTGCACTCAACTACGTCAACATTTACCTTTATAATTTCTCTTGTTGACTTGCAGGTGTTTTTTCTTAGCAAGAGGTTCATTTTCATCTGTGCAAGGGGACAAGAGACTTTTTCTTTTTCTTGTCTGTGATAATGATCTTGACTGAAAACCTTTACTTGTACAAACGTTTGCTTTCCTGCAAAAAAAAAAGGGAAAAAAGAACCGAATGTTCATAAATCAGTTAAAGCATCAGTTATCATGCTGCTGCCCGTTGAAATTACGTTTATATAAAAGTACATGTAAGTACAACAAATCATTACATTTCTGATTCTCTACCTTCGATGAGCGTAGTCAGAGAGTATGATGGTACTTTGCATAAATTAACATATTATAGGTTTGACAATTAGTATTAAAAACCCAACATGAGCGTGTGGGTTTACAGATATAAATTGCATGAGGGTGCAAGTCTGAATGTATTTTACAAAATTTCAGAATTATACCACGAAAAACGATCCGAAAGATTTAGCAAGCAGCCGCATTGCCTAAATGTGCGCTTGGCCAACTTTTTCAAGAGTTACAGTAAACAAGTCATTGAAAATGACACAGTCCCCGTTAAGTTCTCTTTGTGCTTGTCACATTAAAGCGGAGGGGTTGTCGCGAGCGTGTCCTTGAAACTTGAGTTCCAAGTGACGTATACAACAGATTGTTTATTTAAATCAAAACAAGTGTTTCGTGTCATAGTAATATGGCCAAAATAAAAACAGCCGTTATTCAGCCATCTTTGATCTGATTATGAAACACACTGTTATGTATGATGTATGTGCCAAATACAAATGAAAATGGTACATAAATTGTGGAAATATAGTAGGGTAAAAAGTCAGATGGCTGTCAATCAGCCATCCTTGGCCAGATTTTGAAACAAATTGTCATGGACATGCATCCTAACATGTATAAAGTACATGTATGTGCCAAATTTGAATGAAAACTGACAGAGCACGTCCAAGATACCGCATAAAAAAACAAAAACAAGATGCCTGCCAGTCGACCATCTTTGATCCAATTGCAAAATAAATCGTCATGGACATGTATCCTAACATGTATAATCTATGTACCAAGTTTGAATGACAACTGACAAAGCATGTCCAAAATACAACATTTTCAAAAAACAAGATGGCTGCCAGTCAGCCATTTTGAATCGAATCGCTAAACCACTGCAT